TACTCTGGAAAGTAATGAACTAGCTTGCAACCGGTCAGTCAGGGCAGAAAAATAGGTACCGAAAAGGTAGCGATCGCGCTGGCGGCGTAGCGAGCCCGATTTAAAAAATGTCCCTTTGCTTTTACTTTCTCTACTATCGCCACCTTGACGGGTGGTTTGCTTGTTTTTGTGTATATGCCTTTTGCAAGAAAGCGATAAATGAAGGATTACTTATGATTCTAGAATCCTGAAAACAGAGAAGACAATATTTACCGCAACACTTGATGAATCCCTGAAAGATAAGTTATAAACCTGACCTTTTGTTATAAAGATATAAAATAATCTGCCCATAAACTGCCCATTATTTGATGCCAGTGGCCTTGATTATTTTGGGAAACGCTGTTGAAAACATCCTGGCCGGCTTTTCCTAGTTTAACTTTCTTTTATTCAACAATACTATGATTTAGGGATAATAAAATTAAGTCTCTACGCCATATTTGCTTTTGTTCTTATCTTTCTTTTATTTTTGAGATGCTTATTGTGTTTTCATATTTTGCAAAATAACCTTCACACCCACGCGTATAATCTGCCCTCATAATCACACTTTAATCCTCCACTTACATGGCTAAGTACGGATCCGAACTTAATAAAATCTATCAGGAAGACGCTTTTTATTTGCTTTACCTTAACACTTTATTCTCTATGCAAACTCATGCATCTTTCCAATTAAACACAACTAAATTCCCATCCATGCATTCGAATGTTCACTTGCCAACAGCGCTTGAGTCAGGCGTCTAAGATTGCAGCAAGCCGACGAAGCCGTGTTCTTCTTTCACAGGCAGTGGCCGAACTGGGTCGCGCGACTGTGTCTTCTGCACTACTCGATCTGGCCCTTGGACTAGACGCCTTTAATACTAGTGCCGAATGGGCTATGCGTCGATTGAGCGCTGATATGAGTGACACTCGACGCGCTCTCGAACAGTCCGAATGGCTGGCAGGTAATACAGGCTAAAATGTGGTATACTTCGTGAACAGATTGCGATTTAAATAGAGGCTTGGCTAGGGATTGGAATTTTTATTTAGGATTCGGACATTGTACAAATATTTATTAGGAAATTTCACTTAAATTGGACTGACTTTAAGGTGAATTAGAAATGGATTTCTTTTCAGAAGCATTAGATTTACAGTTCCTAAATCAGCAGATGTTGGAAGTAAATCAATTTTCTCTGGGCCATCACTAGATTTATACATCAAGTGTATGCAAGAAATCAAGGATCTTGACTATTTACGATAATGATTAAAGAAGC